GGGGGGACTTATGTATTTGTATCACGTAATAATATTCTACTTATTACTCCTGTTTGACGTATTTCCACGAATGAAAACAAATTCATCACTGGCATTCTGCCAATAATTAAATTCTCTAGTAAACTGATGAAATACAATGTATGTATATAAAAAATAATTTGGAGTAGCAGTGGTGGAGGTGCAGGATGTGTAAGCGTAGATGAAGCACAATGGTTTTGGGGTTGGCCAGTATCCAGATCGATTATAATTGGCACCGATGCGTAATGCTCGGGTAATTTCGGCAATAACGACATTATCAGACGGATTAATTCGACAGTACGTCATCGATTTCGGGCGCTTAACGCGAGTCACAATTGAACGTGACACGGAGATCCACCCTTTCGATGCAAGATGGCCATCCCTTTGTTATCTCGAGCAGCTCGCTAGGACATTTCAAACCCAGGTATTACGTTTATTCGACGGAACGACGTTATCGGGCTCGTCGAAGCGATGAAAATCGAATCCCTCCGAGAGGGCGTCGAATCTGAAATATGTAACAGCGTTTGCGTTCATGTAAACGTGACATCCTAATGGACGGAAGTAGAAACGTTAAAATCGGCCGTATCGTATCTCCGGCTGTAATCGTATTCGAGCATGAATCGCCCGGTAGTATCGTTGGAAATGAATCGAGCACGCGAACCTTATCGCCACGGTTCTCTGTGCGAAGAAATATCAACGACGATCCGTCGTGGACGGGAGCGTGGCTAGGAACAAAGGGGACAGAGGTCCGGCAGGTATCGTCGGGCGCGCTACCGGAAGGTGTGGCTTCTTTCGCCCGTTATCTCGAATTGCGCCGAGTCCTCGGTAGCCTCGGGCGCCCCGGCAGCCTCGGCTGGTATCATCGTCGGAGGATCAAGGATACGGCGCGCCGCGTCACGTCGCGTCGGGACGTGTCTATTAAATTTCCAGGAACGATCGCTGACTACGATAGGCTCGGTCACGTCGTGTCGACTAGCGACTGCGAAATGCACCGTGGACAATTGGACATGCATCTTCTGGCGAGAAACGTCTCTTAGCCTCAGCGTTGCCGTCAGTCCCCCGCCGAATAGCGTTCGCCCGCGACCTTTAAAGCCAGTTTCTCCGCGTTGACGAAAAATAATAATAATAAAACCGGCGAAAGTATACGTACCCGCGTGCATGTGTTGCGCGATTATGCAAACACGAAATACATTTATTTTCTTGCTTACGCCTCGAGTAAAGAAACCGGCGATAAATTACGAGTCGGTGGTAAAAGGATGGAAAAGTTAGTCGACGGTGGCCTATCGATTTGCCGGAGGATCGGCGGCAATTACTCACGAATAGATTTAGCCGGTAGCGAAAGGTTAGGAGGCGTGAATACGGTTAGTGGTAGGTACACGCACGCACGCACGCACGCACGCAATTTGATTGTTTGTCCGCCGGTGTGGGGGAACAGGTTCTCCCGACTCCGCTCCGGAGTGTATGCGCGCGACCGACGGGACGCGCGACGACGACGCGACGCTTGGGTACCCCGGGTGCTGGACCGGATCTGGATACGCGGTTAACATATAATTATCGATAATAGGTAATCAGAGGAGAGTAGCCCCGTGTTCAATTAATG